CAAAATGTCCTTCACTGAATATTCACTATTGTTCCAAATTGCCTGAGCAACAGAAACTCACAGACAGATCCCCAATTTTCATTTGGAAGAAATTACAACAAATTGTGGGTTGTGGTGAGACAGCTCCAGAGACAGCTGGGAAAACATCAAAATAATCTATTAAATCTGTGGAAAAACATTTTGCTTTCCCTTCGTGAAGTTTCCTTAATTAAAGTAGCAGTAGCCGTCCAAAGTCACACATCATACATCATTTTACGTCAGTACAAAACTGCTGACTCTGACTATATGCCAGTTGAATTAGTCTACTTTCAGTATACTATGAGTATTATGGCAGAGGATAGTATAGTGTGGAATTGGTGTACAGTAAATATGAAGCTGCAGCCAGCAGGGGCTTAGCTTAGCTTACCATAAAGGCTGGAAACGGAGGGAAACAGCTAGCCTGGCTCCATCCAAAGGAAAGTTGATCAGCCGAGCAGCACCTATAAACCTCACTAATCTTGCAGTTGTTGATGAATTTGTTTGTCAGGTAGAGTCAAACATAGGGCTGCAACTAATGATTGAGAAAGAAATCCCGGGATTGCTAATAGATTTGCAAATATTTTTTTCCAAATTTTCCAGGCAACAGTCCAAAACCCATAAATATTACATTTACTATAATGTAAGCCAATGGAAAGCACTTAAGAAGCTGGAAGCAACCATTTTTTGATACATTTCACTTTGAAACATTCTCAGAAAAAGAAATCCGCTTTCCAAAACTCCAAGATGATACATGGCAGAATATCAGTCACTCTGTAATGTCTCTATATCATCGGAACTCATTATTGTTCAAATTCAGAGGCTCAGAAGAAAGAAGTCATGACTGTACACAGTCTTAAACACACGAACTGAAAACCAGATGGATTTAGGGGGATTATAGGAACTCTATCTGAGATAAAACTAGATTCCTGTTTTCTCTTTAACTTCCTGAGAGGAGAATCGGGGAGTCTAGTTTCCGCTGTGAGATCGAGAGCCCAAACAGAGGGCTCTGGTGGAATTTAAGGTTTTGTTTGTCTATATTAATGTTAATCCATGGTGTAACTTGAAAAGACAAAAAGGGTTTAGCACGGGGGATGAACATAAAAGCTGGTGGTGAGCTCCAGCAGGAGATAAGCGGGCAGTTCAGTCGAGGGTCCTCGATGCTATCTGAGAAAATACCTCATGTGACAGAGGTCTGTTTAGAGTGTTAATGTGCCACGGACTCGTCCCCTCCAAAGGCCTCATGCTTTTGATTTAGTTTGTTTAGCGTGTCTCGACAGCCCTGCCCTCTACAATGGCAAACAGAGCAAGGTTTGATTAGGAGTCTCTCTGTTAGTTAATATAGAACAGTTTTCAAGGTTACTGTCACCAACGATGCTCTCTCTGCGTGTGGCCTGCAGACTGGTCGCTGTCGCTTGAAAAATAAACCCTCCGCTCTGCACCGGTGAGATTAAACCTGAGGGATTTGTACTTCTCACCGTCTGCCTGTCAGGAGCCATGCGCAGAGTGACGAAGCATGTTGTGACGGCTGTCCTCGTGGTGTCGCCTGGATGAATGGATGGCTGTTTAATCTGCGCCTGAAAAGAAGATTTCAGCGGGGGCAAGAAAGAGGGGAGAAGGATTTAGGGTCCAAGGCACTGATGGGTTTGACTAGTGGGTGCATTTCACCTGCAGAGGGGGTGAACACTAACACAAAGTGATAATGCGTGTGCCATTGTCTGACGGTGAATTTGAGGTGATTTAAACACGGTCGTCTCCGCAGCAGAGCAGCTGTAGAGCCTCTGCTGCTCTCGCAGACAGAGGGAGGCGATGAAATTTTAATGAGGTGATTGTATTATACTGTCTGCTGTCCGGTCTTAAGCTGCTCCCCTGTGACATCCCAACATGACGCTGAAACACTTGTTTATCGGCCTCTCACCCTGGATTTTCACTGGCGAGGGTGTGAACTGTGGTCAGAGACAAACACTTGTGGGAGACTTGATTTAAAAGAGGCTGGCTGTTTGTGAGGTGCAAGTTCCCACTTGCAAGGATGTACACAGAGGAGTTTCCCCTCTGGGCTTTGTGTGACAGTTATATTCATCCTTTAATGACTGCATTAGGGCTGCAAACGATTATGCCTACCGATAAAGCTCTCTGCTATTTCTACGAATAATCTAGGGCCCGTGGTGACATCTTCAGATTTCTTGTTTTCTCTGACCAACGGCCCAAAACCCCAAAATATTTGAACCACATAAAAGAGCAAATTGTCACATTTGAGAAGCTGGGGTCATCATTTTTGGCATTGTTTACCTAATGAATAACCTATAGAGTGAATTAATTAATTATCAACATTGTTTTCCGTTGTTCAGCTAATGTTTTAATCAACTAATTGATTCTCGAACGATTCAATCGAAGTTGGCTCTGCGTCACATTTGTGATTGACTGACTCATCTTTTTTCTACTCCAATCTATTGGCTGATCTACAGCGAAACAAATTATAAACAATTCTGATAAGCTACACAACGTTTCATCAAGCAACTGACGAGGGAAAGACTAAGTGTCTACAGCACGCTAACAGCCCTGTGATGGTGTACTATATGCTAAATGCTAACTTGCTGATGTTAAGCTTCTGTTTACCATGTTCACCATCTTGGGTAAGGCAAACATTGGCTGATATAAAGCCACTGGTATGGCTAAAAACGCTAAGCATTCATTGGACTCATGCAGCTTTTTTGAGTATTTATTTTAATCATTGCGAAGCCCTATTTGTGATATTCAGTTTTTTGGTCATGCTGCTTTCTAGTCTCTTCTACAAAGCCCTCAGTAGTCAGAGAAGACGGATGTAATGGAACTAGAGCTGCGTTACACATCGGCCCAACCTTTCACTGCTAATGTGCTGTCACAAAGCGGCAGAGAGTTCGACTCACGAGCGGCCAAGAGAGTCGAGCGGCATTATCAGCAGTGGGGCCCGAACACATGAATGTGTGGCTGCGGGAGCTTCTCTGCGACCATGGGAGGAATTATCCTGACAGTCTGTGACTTGGCTCTTTTCGCCTGTCTGCCTCTCTGTGTGTCAGATACGGGGCCCGGGCTGGACGGGGCCTCTGGCTGTCCCCTGTCCGGAGCTGAGAGCCTGTCGCTTCCCATCTCCTTTTCGCTGTGTGATTGTGGTGCTCTCTAAACTCCACAGTTGCGGATGATTCCGCGGTGATGGCGAAGAGTACTGTAAATGATTTCACACTGCACGTGAGATGCTGACTGGGCTCTCCTAGCCTCTAATCGATTGACCCTCTTTTACAGTCCTCTGTGGCTTGTTAATTGGACTCCGGCTCTCATGCTGACACAGTGACCCTAATGGAGGAGAATTACTGCAGTCTCGTCATGCATTAACCTCCCTCCCCCCCCGGCCTAACCCCCCCCCCACCCCGTCAGCTGGGTAGACGGGACGAGGTGCACTCCCGTCCTGTCACATGTCGCTGTGCCTCTGGGAGCTGCGGTCAGGTGACACTGCAGCCAACCATATTAAAGCAAAAGCACCAAGAGACAAACACTGACTGTTTGCACGCTGTTGTCGCTTAATTAGTTTGAACATAATTTAGGCATGGCCAGGGTTACAAGAGGCCTCTTTGCACAGGAGGTCAGATCAAGCTTCAGGGCTACTGACTTTTGAACAAAAGCACATTTTGTGCATTTCTGTTGTCTGCAGCCTCAGCATATTTAATGTGGAAAAACAAAACAAACATTTAACAGGTTTGGGCTGCAGATAAAGATTTTTTTCCGTATCAACCGATTTAAGCAATGAATCGTTTGGTCGATAAAGTGTCAAAATGCCTTTTACAGGTTCCCACAATCGCAAAGTGGCAACTTTAAATGTCTAAAACCCAAAGGTGTTTAGGTTACTATCACGTAACACATAAAAAGAGCAGCAAATCAGAAAAGCTGGAACTAATGAATACTGAAATGAATTAACAGTTGATCAAAATAGTAGACTTGGAAATGAAGACTGTGAGAGCACTTCTGCTCCAGAAACAGCAGGAGCGCTCGAGACAGTCGCGACCCAGCTGACATCTCAAGAGATCCGCCACCAATTGCCTTTTCTGTGTTTCTTTAAGTAACCTTTATGTGTCTGGGTGGTTGCAAGCTTAGATTCTGTGAAGCAGCTCCCCCCTAGTGGCTGCTGCCTCCATTATTTACAAGTGTGAATATTTCATGATGATCAGGGTAGGGATGTCCTAATGAGCCGTGGCACTCGTTCATCTGGCCCTAAAACAGGCCGGTGAGGGCTCCGCTGTGGCGCCGCAAAAACCAAGTGGGGGCCTGAAATAAAGTCTTCCTTTGAGGTAAACTGCTGGAGGACAAAAATTAGGAAAAGAGCAAAAAAAACTCACACAAGCAAATTAGCAAATCATCTGTTTTTCCTGAGGAAAAGCCTTGGGCATGAAGGCGAGGCTTACACTGCTTTATTCTCAGGAAAACAGAAGCCTGTTGAAACTAACTCATTATTGTCTAGACTGTGTAGCAAGGGCAAAAATTAAACACTCACTCAAAGCTGTGAGATAATCTATAAAAGTAGCTGGGAAGTCATCATTTCTATATGTATTATAAATAAAGCGAACAGGCTCCAAATTGAAGTTTTGTCCTCTGCTGTAATAAAAATCTTTCGGCCGTTTCCTCTGAGGGGGAGCGGATGAAAGAGTCAATGTTATTGAAGCCAGAAGCTCAAAGATCTGACTTTATTGTGCCGTGTGTGGATGAGAGTGTGTCTTCTTACGTCATACAGGGTGATGAGTCAGAGAGCTTCTCATATTAAGAGTGTATGAAGAGACAGAATCCAACAAAAGGCAATGCTGCGCTGCTCTTACAGACTGTCAAAGAAGTTGCTTTTACGCTGGAAGTGATTTTAAAAATCGTCCTTGTTGAGATGCTTGCAAACAGTTTTGTCTGCAGTCATCTTTTATTTTGAGTGATTCCAATAATAACAAAGCTCTTCTGTTGTTTTGTTGCAGTGAGGGTGTCTTCAAGTGTCCAGAGGACCAGCTACCGTTGGACTATGCCAAGGTATGATTATCACTCTCACAACATACTTTTTTTCTTCTCAAATATGATAATAATAACACTATTAACTATTAAGACGAAAATGAGTCTACACGCATCTGGTGACACAGTGATGCTTTGAGCTGTGTGACAATGCTAATAGGCTGATGTTAAGCAGGTACAATGTTTACCATGATCACCCATTTAGCTTAGTATTTTAGCATGCTAACATTTAGCCAGTTAGCACGAAACACAAAGTATAGCTGAGGCTGGTAGGAATGATATTACAGTCCCAGCTATTTGGTCATGAATAAAAGTATTGGGCGAATTGAAATGTTGACCCAGTGACATGAGCATTTGCACCAAATTGAATGGCAATCCATCCAGTCAAAACCACAGAACACACAGCCTCATGGTGGCAATATCGGAAAGGTCAGTGGATTACCAGAGTCATTAGGATTAACCCTCTGAGGATCATGAATATCTGTAGAAAATGTTATAATAATCCATCCAGTAGTTGTAGAGATATGTCAGTCCACACCAAAAAAGTGGACTGACTGACAGACCGACCTTTCCATCCCTGTCGCCATTTTATTTATGTATTCATTTATTTGACCGGGACAATACCTGTCGGCATTGTTACATTTAAGTAAAGTGCAACAGATGCAATGTATGTAGAACTTCAAGCCCTAGCTAATTTGCGGACCTTGTCCCTAGTTAAGGCTTTTAAGAAATAAAAACACATAATACAACATCATACATTCCAACCATATTATGCATATGTATATGTGTGCATGTAGGTGTTTTCCCTAATTCATGACAGTATATTTGTATAATTGCATTATTTGCATAATTCTATCTGTGTGTGTGTGTGTGTGTGTGTGTGTGTGTGTGTGTGTGTGTG